TTAAACAGACTTGATGGCGCCGGCAGGTGGTGAAAATCAACACGCGGGTTTTAAGGACCATTTTAGTGCCGTTATTGCGGGTTTTTTACCTAAAAGTTCTCCCCCTCCTCACTGCTTGCCCACGTGACATCTCACCTACTGAATGGTGGGTGCCAACCCTGGGCATGTGGCCACCACGGAAGGGTCATGGTAGACATTGGCCACGTCATGAACCCTTCCCAAGTGTTTGCATTGGTGATGGGCAACAAAAAGGCCAAACCACACCCCCGTGGCTACCACAGAGTGACTGAGGTAGCCGTTGGCCACATCCTGAGTCCTCCCTAAGTCTTTGTGTTCGTGTTTTTCCCCAGTCCCGTGGCTTTTTGCCTACATAGGTTCCCCACAAGCCAACGATGGGCGTTGATGGAGCCAAACCACGTCCCCATTCCCACCACAGAAGGGTCATAGAGTCATTGGCCACGTCCCCAAGCCGTTTACGTTGACGATGAGTGCCAGTGGGCCAAACTACGTCCCTGTGGCCACCACAGAAGGGCTGTAGCAGCCACTGGCCATGTCACGGTTCCTACTGAAGTCTTATTGTTGATGATGGGTGCCGATAGGGCCAACCCACGTGCACGCGGCCATCACAGAACAGCTGTAATTATCACTGGCTACATCATGGATCTTCCTGAAGTCTCTGTATTGACAATGGGCGCCAACAGGGCCAAACCGCATCCCCACGGCCACCTCAGAAGGGTTGTAGCAGCCATTGACCATGGTATGGATCCTCCATGAATCCTTTTATTGACGATGAGCACCAGCAAGTCAAACCACATCCCCATGGTCACCACAGAAGCACCATCATCTGCTCTACCGCCTCCTCCCATCTCCTTGGGGAGCCCCTCAGAGCCCCTGGTGCATCGCCAGGGCTGGATCGGGCCCTGGCTCAGCTACGTGGAGGCGGCGGTGGCGAGCGAGGTTGGAGCTGCGGCCGAAGGTCTTGGGGCAGTTGGGGCAGCGGTAGGGCTTCTCACCGGTGTGGGTGCGCTGGTGGTCGAGCAGATGGGTGCTCTCGACGAAGCGTTTGTCGCACTGGCCGCACTGGAAGGGCTTCTGGCCGCTGTGGAGACGGCGGTGCCGACGGAGGTTGGAACTCCAGCTGAAACATTTGCCGCAAGCGTTGCATTCATAGGGTTTCTCACCGGTGTGGGTGCGCTGGTGCTGCAGGAGGTTGCAGTTCTGGGTGAAGCTCTTGGCGCAGGCGCCGCACTTGTAGGGCTTCTCGCCCGTGTGGGTGCCAAAGTGCCGCATCAGGTGCGAGCTCTGCCCAAAGGCCTTGCCGCACTCGGTGCACTTGTAGGGTTTCAAGGTATCTGGGGGGGGCGTGGGGGGCAGCTCCCAGGTGCAGCCCAGGCTGGGTGATGGGGGCAGCGTCGCCAGGCTCTCAGGGGTGTCCATCTCTGAGGACTTCACAGTGCCTGTGGGGACATGGAGATGAGTGTCACCATAGGATCCCTAATTGCCCTCCCTGAGCTTCTTAATTGCCTCCAGCATCCAAAATTGATCCCTAGAATTCCCAAATCACCCCTGAGCTCACAAATCACCCCTTGATCTCCCTCATTGCCCCCCCTGCCCCGAATCTCCCAAATTGCTTCCCAAGCCACATGGTGCCCTCTCAGACCCAGATCTAATTTGTGGATGGTCAGGAGGAACGTGACCTGGGTTGGGGTGGGGTTAGAGCAAGGACCCCTCAGAGGTCCTGTGTGTCTGCCCACCCTGGTGGGATGGAGCTGGGTTTCCATCCTTGGAGGTCCTCAGACTTCACTGGGAGAAGCCATGAGGAACCTGGATGAGACAGACCTGCTTTGGTCAGCATTGGACCCCTCTGCTGTCTCATAACGCTTTGCAGTGCCCCTTGTACCCCCTCCCCAGCTGGGCTCACCTCTGTGGGTGCCGGGTACCGTCCCCCCATCCCTGTCCCAGTCGCTGGGTGGCTCCTTTGTCTGCTCCATGGCCTTCGGGGAGACGCAGGGTGGGGGGAGAGATGTGGGGTGGGGGAGGTCAGCACCTGCTCCCCCAAAAGAGGACCCAGGCATCT